AAAAAGCTTACCATGTTGATTATTGATTGTTTAAGTTGTGATGAGGACCCATAAGATGGTCTCTCAGTGATGTTTTGTTTTATGATGAGAGCCCCTTGGATTTCTGGGGAAGGGGATGTTTTATGATGTTGTGTGTTATGATGAGACCCCCTCGGGTTTTGAGAAGGGGAAGTTTGGTTTTATGGCGAGACCCCTCGTGATTTTTGGAAGAGGGGGTGTTTTTGTTTATGATGAGAGTCCCTTGGATTTTTTTTTGGAAAAGGGGAATGGTTTATGGTTGGAAGGCGCACCCTCAGAAGTGAGTAAATTGATTTATGGCATGACGAGTTGTTTGATGGGTGATAAAGTCTGACGGAAAGAGCCACTTTTGTTTGGAATATTTGAGAAAGTCACAATGAGTGCAGGGCGAGAGACGTCTCAGGACGGCTGGCTACTGGCTCTGATCAAGTCAGGGGTCACGGCCTGGTGGACTTAGCGGTGATTTTGTTTGTGAGCGTGCGAAGGATGCCGTGCCTATTGTGGAAGGGTTGGTAGATGCCTTCGGACCCCTGCGTATCGCGCAGTGGGCCTGTGATTTTGTTTTGCGACGCCCCGCCTAACCACCTGTGCTAATTCTGAGACATATTGAAGAAAGGCCAAGCTAACGGAAAAGAAGTTAGTACCTCTAGGGCGTAACCCCATTGGATGGCTGCTAGCCGGCGCAACCTGGCTGCGGGACCGCGTGGGTAAGAGTTTAAGGGGGGGTGCCCGCCCCAGTGAAATTACTCCGCGGGATAGTCATGGTTGATAATTTTTTTGGGGAGAATCCTGATTGAATGCTTATCAGGAGGAAACCTATCGTTGCGTAACCAACGAGGGGTACTGCCGCTAAATAACAATGCGGTGGGCCGTAGTCCTGGTCCGATCAGCCAGGCTATGGTGGGCCAAGATGGAGACCTAGCCTTTCTGTACTAGACTGTAGAAAGAGCTGAGCGAATATTAAGTATACATATATACTTATGTGTTTTTGATTGCGAGAGATTTTGAGAAGGAAGGCGAGAGTGCCTTCAAAAGGTCTCGATTAAGGCCCACGTCCCTAGTTTTTGCCAGGACTAGGGACACCCAACGAGAAGCCGAAGGTTGTCTAGGACCGGGGGGAGGACGATTGGGAAGGTCTTTGGAACTTATGCGGTCAGCGTTCTAATTTATGAGCGGTGAGAGGCCCAGGTTAGAAACCTGGCAGCATATAGTTGTGGAGGCACGGTTTGATGGAGGCCTCTACCCTGTGTTTGTCGGCTAATCAGATTGGCTCGTTTTCCGCCAGCATTTGGAGTGTGGGTGGGTTTATAGCTTTCTGATTTAGCGAAGCGACGGGGACGTCGCTTAATATGGTCCGGTAAGCTGTCGGTGCGAATACCCTTACAAGGGTATCCGCCCTGGTTTTTACAAGTAACAGAAAATGGTTTTGGTTTAGAATTTAAGTATACCGCGCTAAGCGCGACTGCGTCTGTAATTGCGTTGATTGGGTGGTTGACCACAATAGCGAGTGTGTGGGCGCGCAGGTTTAAGGCGGGCTTGATTCTTTTCTGTTGTTGATCGTAGAGCCGGCCCGGCCCTTGGTCGTTTTGCTTGGTGATATTATTTTTATTTATTTATTTTTGATTAAGCAGGAATTAAGGATATTTTCTTTTGATTGGTACTTTTGACCAAGTCGAACGCGCGTGCGGAGAAACGGCCCCGACAACGGCATTGGCAACGACAGCGCGGCTTCGTGTGGTAAGCGGGGTGTCGTAGGATGGCGCGCGGGGCAATTATGGCACGGTATAAGCAAGCCGGCGCGGGCAAATGGGAGCCGCGCAGCCGTTTTGTTGGCCCAAAGCGTCGCGCCGCACTGCCTATATGGTATTCTGCGGGACTCAATCCCAGGCTTGGGCTTAGCCCTATAGGTTACGACATTGGATTGACAGTACGAAGGTTCAGGGATCGAGGCCGGCGAGCGTCGACGCAGCGGCAGCGGAGCATCGAGGAGGAAGCCGATGGGGTTGAGGGCCGTAGGGCTACCCCGTTTGGTTTTGCCATTTGGCGGCGTCAGAGCGGTGCAGGGGGTATCCTTTATTTTGTCTTTGGTGACTGGAAGTTTTTAAGATCAATTTTTTTTCGTTGGTACCTTTTAATTTGAGCGCGCGCCTCCGTTCGTTGACTTACGGGTCCCCGCGTGTTCAAGGTGTTGGCAAAGTTCTTTTATCTTGTATGTCCTAAGAATATGGGCCGGGGGAATTAACGTACATTCGAGTCGGTAGATGATTAGCCCACGAGGCGGGACGAACCTGAGTGGCGGGGACCCTCTCCGGGTGTGAATATGCTCTGCCCGCCTACCACGATCCGTTGTAGGAGGTTTGGGTGTGAGTATGCCCACGGGGTTTCCCTCCGGTTCGGGTCTCAGAGTTCTCACTTGAATATTTGCTATTACCTCTAAAATTTGTGCCAGGGCCGGCTGCACCAGGGGCCATGCTACACCAGGGGCCATGCTACGGGCCTGCGGCAGGGGCGTTCAACCGACACCGCAACCCACATACCTATGGGGGAGCCCGACTGTTGGAGGCCTGAGGGGTTGGAGCATTCCGCCTGGGCGGAGTGAGCACGCAGGGACAGACTGTAATGGGGCTGGCCCGGCAGCTGCGGGCGGAGCAACAGTGCGGGCCAGTAGTAAGTGTTGGGGCGGTGACGGGGACCGGAGGAGACAGGGAGGAAAAAGCAGGAGGCACAGTGGCGGATGTACCCGGACGCGGGCAGGCGCCGGGTGCATGCAAGCAAGGGAGTAGATAGCGCAGTGGGGGGCGGAGGCGCTACGTAGCAGCAGGACTCCGGTGAAACCCACAGCGCTGCTGCCCGCACGACGTGTCGATCGGACTTGGGTATAGGGGCGAAAGACTAATCGAACCGTCTAGTAGCTGAATGCCTCCGAAGTTTCCCTCAGGGATGGCCGGAGATTGGGCCAATAGGTCGCAACGAGCGGAGGGACTGACCGGACAGCGCAGCGCTAAGGAGCACGGAGCCACAGTATAGTGGCAGCGGAGTGCACACGAGGCAGTGTGGCGCGGTGCAACAGCAAAGGCGGAGGGAGCGAGCGGGCAGCCAAGAAGAAGAGTGGGCTGAACCCGAGCGGTGTTGTGCGCCAGGTGCGTGCAGGAAGCGGGGCAATAGGGAGACTGGTGGTAGGTGGAGTGATCGCGGGGGAACGAAGGTCGCCAGGGGATGGGCAGAAGGTGCGGATGAACCTGGGCGTGGGAACGCGCCAGGTACATGCAGACAAGAAGGAGGCTGAAGATGGCAGAGAGGAGCTAGTAACGCCGACCGTTTCCTGATGAAACTGGGCGGGAAGGGAGTCTTCTTAGGGGTTTTAAACCATAGCGACTTCGAATCCAGCGTTAGTTTTAGGTGAAAGTTAGTGTAGAAGAAGGTTAGTAAGAAAAAGGTCGTGCGGTGTTATGGCGGAAGGGGCTATGGTAGAGGTAGGAAGAAGCAATATTTCGCTCGATTCTTAACGAAATCGAGCGAAATAAAGTTGTAAACTGTGTTTTTTTTATGCTGCGAATTAGATCGTGAAGTCAGTTTGGGGAAAATGTTAGTAGAAAGGGAGTTGGAAGAAGTAGGAGCTGCGCCGAAATGGCTATGGGAGGAGAAAGAGAGGGGGATATTTCGATCAATTCTTGAAAGAATCGAATGAAACAAAGTCAGCAACAGGGGTTTTGAGGGGTGGCGACCCCAAATCCGGGCTCAAAACTGGTGGTAGGCGAGTATAACGAAGGTTGGTAGGGGGAGATGGTGCGCGGAGAGTGTCGCGTCCGGGTCTTGACGAAATCGAGGGAGGAAAGTTGCAGAGTAGAGGTCCGAAGTCGGACGAGTTCGGGGGCGGTGTTAGATTTTGAGATTAGTGGTCAGAGTCTGAGTTATGTTAGTAAGGTGCTGCGTGAAAAAGGGGGGTTTCGAACTGGTTATGTATCTCCCCGTGTTCTAGTGGGAGATTCATCTGATTCCACCCATAGTAGCAGCGGGAGGCCAGCCGCCGAGTAAAGTTGGGAGACAGCCTGTATCCGCCTGGGATCCAGCTGAAGATTCACCCGACTTTGCTCATAGTTGGAGGCAGCAGGAGGGTGGCCGCGTGTGGAGGACTTACCTGTTATCTGGTGTGTCGCTCCACCTCCCGCTAAGAAGTGTCTCCCTCGCTCTGCATAAG